GTTTGTCTGATTGATTCGTATGTTGTGTTTTTTGTTGTGTGTATATAATGTGCAGACTTCAAAAATAATTGTGCATTACTTTAATAAGTGATGTGCATTTTCGAATCTCGGTTAATTGTTTCGGCTGTTCTAGTTTAATGTGTGTTATAATGGGAAACATGGATTTTATTGTTGTTTATTTAATGTGCCAAAGATATAGCCTCGGGTTCAAGGCCATCTGCAACTAACAAATCACCACCTTCAGTTGATGATTCTCGACCCGAGAAAAGGAGCTTCAGATGTTGCTCAGATGATAAAAATCTGAAATCATGTGTACAAAATTTGAATGAAGGAATTAGTATCTGGGATGATGTCATCTTTGATGATTTCAGAGAGAGAGAGAGACAGTTGTTGGAAAAACAACAATAAAGAAACCCGGTTTATGTGATGAGCATTCTAACAAGCGGCTTAGGCTAAATTGCAAAAACTAGCCAGTAACTTAGACGGGTTGGCAGTTTTACCCACCTTCTTTCGATTTTGGCAATAATAGCCAAAACGTTTTAAAAAATCGGTCCTTCTACCCAAATCCGGCCAAACTCGTCGGAACTCCGCCTGAGGTCACAAAACTTGCCAGCGTGGACTACACGTGGAGGAATTAATCCACCTCAGCTATACCGTCTATAAATACACCATCCACGTATTTTAGGCCAAATTGCAAAAACTAGCCAGTAACTTAGACGGGTTGGCAGTTTTACCCACCATCTTTCGATTTTGGCAATAGCAGCCCGAGCAACCATCATAGCAAACTCCAAACACGTGGATGAGGTGGATTAATTCGTCCACGTGTAGTCCACGCTGGCAAGTTTTGTGACCTCAGGCGGAGTTCCGACGAGTTTGGCCGGATTTGGGTAGAAGGACCGATTTTTTAAAACGTTTTGGCTATTATTGCCAAAATCGAAAGAAGGTGGGTAAAACTGCCAACCCGTCTAAGTTACTGGCTAGTTTTTGCAATTTGGCCAAGCGGCTTACAAGAGACAACTGGTGGAAAGTGGAAAACTGAGGATATTTAAATTTTGATTGTGTATTGACCTGATAATAGACTTAAAAATTGCAAGTTGTACCATCTTCTGATGTGAATTGTTCATGTGGGTTTGTGTTAAGATGATAAATTATAATGTGCTCCTTTTCAAATGTAAATGTTTATGGATAGATGAAATAATGTGTGTATATAATTTTAGTTAATTATTTTAGCATACTGGGTTAACGTGTCTTACAATGACTATTGTGGAATTTGTTTTGTTTTTGTAGTTTTAAACTTTTAGTGTGGATACGGTGTATATATTTGGATGCTCAGTTATAAAGTGCTACTTTTAAAGTGTAAATGTGCATATATAGGTGAACTAATGTGCATTTTTTGAATGCAAGCTAGTAATATCGGCTGTACTTGTTTAACATGGTTTTGTAGAATTTATTGTTTATAATTTACAGTATTGTTGAATTACGTTTTTCATTCTTCTTTTTTTTTTTTGTTAAAAAAACTCTTTGTTTATCCACATTTTGTGCATGTTTTGATTACAAGTTCATAAGTTTTAGATATAAATCGTCGAATTCTTATAGTACACAAGTTGATGCTATTTGATGGATTCTAGAACATGTAAATGACATCGACAAGGTTAAATGGAAGGGAGAATTTTATCTCTACACAGCATTTACTATTTAATTGGAATATTGCCAAATGAATTAATTAATTTGCAAGTTTACCTAATGTGTGGAAATTAAATGTTGCGGTTACCTCAACAAACATAAATCACTCTCCTTAAATAATGGGATTTGAATCAGCCGTTTTATTTGCAAAAAATAAAAATAAAAAATAAATGAAATGTGTATATTACCTATCGTATGACGCAACAAAATTGAAGAGGATTCAAAAAATCAATCGATCTTGTTGATACTATCCCGTAATATATTCTAAAAAAAAAATTAATTGTTGCAGTTCTATATACTCAACATATACATATAATATATACAGTTGATTAGTTAAAAACTTAGTTAAAAGTCTATAAAGTATATAAAGATTCAAAAGTGTATCAGTATAAACGAAACATATACTAAATAACAGTATATTTGTCGGGAACATATACAGAAGATATATTCATTGTATACATAGGGCATAAAAGAAAATACACAAAAGATAAATCAATCTTGTCATTATATACAGAACATATACAGAAAATATACAAAAACCGCATTAGGGACTACGTTTAATATTGAATCAGATCTCTTTCTCATCGATGCCCATATACATACATATACATATACATACAATTAATCCTTCATATTCATTTTCCTCATTCTCATCTTCTCTTTAGTTTATCCTGCTCCTGTCATCTCTTTCAGAATCCCTCTTCCTCTCCTCCCTTCTTGTACTCGATTTTTCACGGCTTTCATCATCATTTTCTCTCTGTCTTTCCCTTCCACGCCTGGACCCTAATGTTCGGACTTCCGCCATGAACCCTAATGTTCAGACTTCTGCAAGTGGGATGGAGAAAGAACAAAAAGTAATTCTGGGAAGGAAGGGGCGGATCTAGGGTTGTTCGTCGCCGATGTCAAAAGAAAAACAAGAGGGTGGGAAGGTTAATCTTACGGGCTGAAGTGAAGAATAAGAGAAGGGAGATGGAAGGGGAGAGAGAAGAATAAGAGAGATAGGGAGAAAGAAACGTAATTGGGGGAAGAGAAATTATTTGTTTCCTTAAAGATATGTAATTAATGATTTAATTCATCATTAACTAAAATAGATAGATGTTTTCTGGTATATTCACAAATAAAAACATGATTTTAGGTAGGATTGTTAATATTTACTATAGATATTTAATTGTGTAATAAAAAATAAAATATATGGTGTAGGGAGTAATTTTCTCTAAATGGAACTGTCTGCAATTGTAATTTCTACCGAATCGTTTGACTTTGGATGTTCTCCTTCTTCCCACGAATCTTTAGTTGCCATTTTCTTTAATTTTCTTTTTCTTTTTAGATTGTTTATAGTGTAAGAAGAAACTTCGTCAATTCAAGCTCGTGTCTTGGACACTTTTGATTCTTTAGTTATTAGTTATCTTATGTGAAATGACAATATTGTTTTCTCAGAAATGCTATGGAGCCATCAGATAGTTTTCTTATAGAGCCATCCATTACTTTATGTATCGACACGTGTCTAATGTGTATTTATTGCAGGACACGTGTCAATACACTATTTGTGGATAACTATGGATGGCTCTATAAGTCGAGCCATCCGATGGCTCTATAGCAAAACCGTTCTTTTCTATTGTCTTATTATATATCATCAATACCCAATCAAATCTGAATATAGACATAAAATCTTATTATACTAACATAAATTTGGGTAACTACTATTTGTGCATATTCAATGCAATATTGTTCATTTACTTTCATAATATTGGGCATGTTTCATAAACTCTTATTCTACTAACATGTATCTTCATAACTACTATTTCAGAAATTCTATGGCGCCCATATGGTGCCATAATCTCACGATCCAACGCCTAATATCCATTCTATCAATTTAAATCCCGAATTTCAACACAAAAATTGATTAAAAGAATGTTCCAATCACAGCTTGTGTGGAAACAACAATTCAGAAAAACTTTTGAGTCCTTAATAACTACTTTCTTAACTACGAACTGCCACCAAATTTGTTTCTAAGGCGTTGTCTTCACCGTGATCAACAAACTCAAATTCACACTACCATCAATTTAAACCCTCCTAGCTATATCACCAACTAGTCCTTAACAAAATCATCACTGCTATCGGGCTGATTCACCCGACGTCCACTCATCTTTCCACGTTTTGCACGAGTTTCATCACAGTCTGGTTTATTCACTTTTCTTTTACCTACTGATATGAGACACAAAATATATAGATAAAAAAAACTTCTTAACGCCAATGACCTCTTGGCTTAGTGGTAAGAGTGAGGCACCCTTGACATGAGGTCAAGGGTTCGAACCCCCCGGAGCGCAATGGTGGAACAATTAATACTGAGGACTAGAAGCGGCAGTATGGGAGGCTGAAACTCGGTGGGAACCAGCGGCTGGATAGGCGGGGCCAGTATGAAGTTAGGGGGGCCAGCGAGCGATCACTTTGGTGGGAACCAGCGGCTGGATAGGTAGGGCCAACTTGGAACTGGGAGGGCCAGCGAGCGATCACTTGGGGATCGACTCCTTGTGCGCGGTAGTTGAGGGTATTAAGTAACTGGGAGCCATTGTGTGGCTACCGCTCCTTGTGCGCGGTAGTTGAGGGTATTAAGTAACTGGGAGCCATCGTGTGGCTACCGCGGTTTAATTGGAGGCAGTGTCTGCAGGGGCCGGAGCTGTTTCCTCGAGGACTAGTCAGGCGCAAGCTTGGAACCTCGGTATCAAAAAAAAAAAAA